AGCAGGCGCGCCGCTGCAGGGTCATGGCGGCAGTGGGAGGCTGACAGAGCGTCAGGCTATGTCCAGGCGGTTCTGCAGGACCCGGCTCAGCTGTGTGAAATCAAACTAACGAGCTGCTGCTTCGGTGTGGCCCAGCTGAAGCTGCCTGATTGATTGCTGCTTTCACAGTACGCACGTTCTGCAGCCTTATTTTCGGCGGCACACGGGAGATATTCTCAGTCGGTTTTTTGATGTGAAGGAAACAAAGAGTTTCTAATTCACACTGGACATGTGCAGACCAATTATCCTTAATATTAAAACACCTGAGAGGTGAACTGACTGCATATTAACAATCTAATTAAGCGCGTTGGAAAACCACGGATTCATGTTTCTACCCAGGTACACAGAACCAATTTAATACTCTGGAAAGATTGTAATGTTATACCAGCAAAGCTCCTTTCGTTATTAGAAGCAGCTGGAAATCTATGGAGGTCTAATAATGCCACAATTCAATAAACAAATAGATAGTTAAATGGTCAACTAAGTGTTTTATTGTTAATTAATTACAAAAAAACTCAGTTTTTATATAATAAAAACAATTCTGTTTCTAAAAATCTTACATAATCATCTCATTATTTAATTATTTCATGGTCTATACATCCATAAAAAATGGGCGGGGCTTATAGGGGAAAAAATTTCAATATAATATGACTAAATTTGACTATTTATATAAGAAAACCAATCAGATGTTGCAGATATTTAATGAGCCACTGTAACAGCTTAAGCAAACTTGGAAAGCTGCAACACAGGAATTATGAAAAGATTAAAAAAGCTAAGAAATATATATATATATATATATATATATATATATATATATATATATATATATATATATAAGCTTTTAATATAAAATTAGTTCAAAATTTAAAAGAATAATTTTGGCATTTTTAAAATTATTTCCAATCTTTTGCTAAGTGTAAAATATATCACTAACGATTTAAGTGTCTCAAGGAGAGAAGAGAATCACCTTAAACTGTCAACAATGCAAAGACAATAAACCCAACAACGAGCTTTACAAACACACTGTACATTGAAAAGTGTGAAATCCAGCTGATATGATTGTTGAAATACTGTGTTGAAAAAAAAGAGCAAGTTTCCTTGTTATATAAAGAACAATCCATCATGTGAAAATGTGTTTAGTTGCTTTGGAAAACAGTTTGAAATTTGAGTTTCAGCTTGAGATTTCAATGTACATTGGGAGGCTAGTGTTTCCAGCTGGGGGTGTGGAGTCAAAGAGGTGTGGGCTTTTTATTAGGGAAGAAGAAAGTAATAAGTTATGGAATCAGAAGTGTGGGATCAGGCAAGTATGAATCATTCCAGACACCAAAAAATTAGATAACTTGGTCTCAAAGGAACCGCTGTAAGCCTGAATAATCTTGTTAGGATTATTCTTAAATGTCTTCAGGACATTCAGCAGCTACTATCACAAAGTGAACAATTATTTGGTTTTTCAAGATGTACTGTCCTGGTGAGAAGATTAGCTTAAACAGCAACTTTTGCTGATGCAATTAAACAAGAGTGAACAGATTTGAATTTATTTAGATTTTTTTTGTATTTGTATGTGTCTCATAGACCACACTCTGCAGCCATCAATGTACTTCTGGAATAACACCAGCTGCATATCTTCCCCTTGTCTTGTTGGCAGAAATATAGTTCATTCAAAAAGATTTAATTTCTGGTGCAGACATGGCTTTTGAGTATAAAGATTCAATAAGGTTGAGGTCGGGGCCATGTTGCGTTATTATTAACAAAAATACCTTTGACGTTTGTTTGAGATGGTTGTCCTGCTGGCTCACCCAGCTCTATTCAGTTTCCAACATTTGACTCTAACTGTCTAGACAGATTCTAGGAACAAAATAAACAGGTTAGGATGTTAAAAAATCCAGGAATGACTGAGGCTGAGCTGGAAGTTGTTTGAATACCAGTATACCTCACTATAGCGACGCTACTTTTACACCAACATGTACTAAGAGGATCCAGACCAAAAAAATATGCTCCGAAATGTTCATCAACCCTGACTTGACAAAACTACAGCTGTTTGGCCACAATAACAAGTATTATGGGAGTCAAAGTGAGGCTTACAAACTAAACCACACTAGCAACTGTAAAGCAAGGTGGAGGCAACATCATGCTTTGGGACTAGTAAGCTTGCAAGTAAAGTTACATTGAAATTCTTCCGTTTCACCTTCAAACATGGTATCTGCCTGTTTCAGCAAGTCAAATTTAAGAATTTTAAGACCCTTTTAATGCCATCTTGAATGAAATTTAAGACTGAAGCAGGGTTTCCCCCAGTGTTTTATAAGCCTGACGGGCCACCAGGCTTTACTTGTGCCCCTGCTAGGGCATAGCTTGCCAGCTATCCCCTAGCTGGCAAGCTAGCTACGGTTTATTAGCAGCTAACTGTCCATAGCCTCAATCACCTCGAGTCACAGATGTTTGTGTGAAACTCAAACATTTGCCTGACAGAAAAGTCCAGCGGAAAAAAAAATACATTAAATAATCCTGCCACCTGAAATTAACGTATTTAAGGTCAATTTACATTTTAGAAGACATTTAAAACAATTTAAGGCCTTAATTTTTGACACAGGAGTTTAAAACCTTTCAAGACTTTTTTAAAGATGTCAAATCAACATCTAGACCAGATACATCAAACTCTAGTCCTTGAGGGTTGGTGTCCAAATGGTTGAACGAACTCTTGAGCGTCTAATCAAGATCTACAGTCCTGCAAATGACCTAATTATACAAATATACAACTCCCCATAAGTATGTGGTATTCCTCCCATTATGAGTGTGTATAAACTTTCCATGAAGACGTGTTGTGGTAACTCTGAAAGCTGCAGCGCCTTAAAGAAGGCAGGATGCAAACTGGATTAAAACCCTCTCACCTCTCAACATCTTTATAAATCACCACAAGTGGCTCCTGATGAAAACATCCAGAGTGTTGGGAACCCGGGCAAAGTGCATAACGCGTGAAGTATTTGAAAACTGAGCGTCTCGGAGCTGGGAAGGTGAGTAGCGACTGTCCCGCTGAGCCCGAGCTGGAGCTTGATTGGTTCTGATTAGTGAATAAATCAAACAGGTATCAAATCAAGCTGAGCCAATTGCCTCCTACTCGCACCTTGATTAGGTTCATGCACCCAAACGTGCTCCCCAGTCGAGAAACCCTCTCCCTCACATACGCACACACACACACAAACAGGAGTCCACTGTGTAATTGGCAAACTCTTCCTGCCTTTACCCAAGCCAGCTGTAATTAGTGTGCCAGCAACAATGCTTGTTTGTCAAAAAAAACAAAAAAAAAACGCACATCTACACGCACGCAACACTCATCCCGTCCTCCATTATGCCTCAGCTAACACTCTTTGATACACCCACACACACATGGACACACACAGATACTATTCAGGCTTTCCGCAGCGCCTGGGGCAGTTAGTATTTACAAATCGGCTCGTTTCTCTGTGAAATCTAACACCGCGCTTCTTGGTTTTCTGACACTATGTTGGGAACTGATTCATCTCGCCATTTACACAGAGTTAAAATGTCTACCAACAAGAATGTGGCTTGTTAAATCATTCCTAACTGATTTGTTCGTGGGGCAGACGGGGTTCTCGTTCCCTTGATACGGTTCATGGATTTATCGGAGCTCGAGCAGCCGGCCCTTAGTTAGCGAACGGACACCATTTAAAATGATGGAAGGAGGACACCAATGAACATTTTTGACCATTTTTGTGAGAAATGGATCTTACAGGAAGTGCTAAAGATTCATTTAGATTGATCTGGTTGCTAGGAGATGTAGCTCGTTTGTGAAAAGAGGCAACGGCTTACATGAGTACCACATTTTGTCACTTTACTTCAATATTACTTGGCCTTTACGTGATAGAGCGACACATAATACATAACTTCTGCAGAGTGTGGTGGCCTTTGTTTAGCGACTTTCAACACTAAACACTAAAGTGGCCCTAAAGACTAAACACCTTCTGCTTTGTGTGGCAGAGAGCTGGAAGGAAGATGAGGGAAAAAACCACCGAAAAATAATTTTAAAAATGTATCTAAAACATTTTCAAACATTTTTAATCATGAAATGTAATCTGTTTTTCAATAAGTATTATAAAATAAAAGTTAAAATGAGTTTTTGAAATGCTATGTATATAAGGCTGCTTTGCTAGCTCAAGATAGCATAGGCAGCATAGGTAGCAAGCTTGAAATGAACAAGTTTCTGACAAAAAAAAAAAAAAACACTGAAGGACCGTCAAGCAGCCTTTCTGTGGCATGACACTGCTGTAAAACAAACCCTAAGAACTCATAGCCAATTAAAATAAGCAGGTAGGAGGCAGCAGTTATGCTAAGCAACTGCTTAGCATAAATGTTTAGCATTTATATGAATATGCTAAAATTTAGATGCATAAATAGTGAAAAAGTGAGGAAAAACATTCTAAAAGTTGATGTTTCTTTAAATATATTGTAGGAAAATTTGTGGGTTTGCAAAAGGTAGTTCCAATCTAGAAGATAATACTCTTTGTGGACGGGGACATCCAGTGTAAAATAAGTCTGGTGGGCTGCCAGGCTTATTATATCCTTTTGTAGCTCTGACTGTATATTGCTGCAGTCTCAAATGTTTTGAAACCTCCAATAAATTTTCCTCCTGGACTGGGCTTTGTGTAGTTCTGACTAGCTACACAACAACTCTGAACTGTTTTCCCTACTGCATGATTCTGCCACTGCCGTGCTTTACTCTAGGGATGGCATGCAGAATTTTGAGGACTTCACAGAAAAGCTGGATTTATACTAAATAAATTCATATTCACTAATAAACTGACTTCTGAATGCAACAGTTAAATTAGATTTTACTTTGGTGTAGCATTTTAAGAGTTTAAGAGAACTTTTTCACCAAAGTACATTGAATTTAGTGGTTTTAAATGTATAAAATGTAGCAAAGTTAAGTATTTGTGTTAGGATCTGACCTGTTGGTGCTGGAGTGGGGACGCTGGTTGGCGGCCAGCTGCTGCAGGCCCAGGGTTGGGCTGTGGAAGAGAAAGCCACTGCGCCGCAGCAACTTCTGCTTCATGGCTGCCAGGCTGCTCCACTCCTGAACGAATCTCAGCACCTGCAGGGGAGGGGAGAGTCGCGACAACTCACTTTACGCTCAGTTTCAATTTGAAGCTGCTGGAGCCTTCATCTTCATCGCAAATTGATGCCTCGGACGTCGGGAGCTTTTTCTAAAAGCAAAACATTTTCTCATTTTTGAAGCTGCTCCTCCAGCTCAAAACAAACAATTCAAACTGAGACCGTTTTCCAGACAGCCGAACAAAACTCATCAAAGCAAAGGAGAGATGTGTATACTTTTAGCCAAGCAGAGCATTCAAAGAAAATCCAGTGAAAATGAAGCAAATAGGACTCTGGTCACCAAACGTTAATGGGCAATTCACCAACATATATTACACTTGAGAAGTGTTTATCTTCATGAATGATGCACACTGTCAAAATATGACATTTTTGAGCTATTTGGGTAAAAATGTTCATAAAAAAATCGACTAATTTAAAAGCAGGCCGGTTTGAAAATAAAATGGCACTAAAGACACATCATCTGCATCTTTTAACAAGATAACTCCACTTTGAATCACTACATTTCAATTCAGAAAAATTAATCTCCTCACTGATACTTATGAGCAGTTTTAAATGATTAATAGATTCAGCAGGAAAGAACTGTTCTGTTTTTTCAGCCAAATTTTCCCAGTTCTGCTCAAGTCCTGCCTAGAGAGTATAACTGAAATATTAGACATTCAAATGGAGTTTTTAATAGGAATTTATTTCATGCTTGTATTTTTTTCTTTAATTACAGTGGCTGCAGCAGAACTCACTGCTTCCCTGTCCAAGGCGCATCACCGCCCACATTAAACTGTTTGCCTGGTATTGATTGGGAGGGACAATCGGAGGGTAACGGGGCATAAATGATGGGTCAGAGGATGGATGCAACTCACGCCTGGGTTTTACAAAGCAACATAAACAACGCGACAGGTGGGACGTCTGTCAGCAGCTCTGATAGCGCTGCGGCAGATTCCAGGATTTAATACGCGCGGGGTCGTTTGAGGCGATGATCCGTCTCCTTTAACGACTCTCATAAAACCGTACTTTCTCTTTTTGCTGTTCTCCCCGGCTATAAGGAAGACGCCTCTTCCACCCCTCCGTTCCTAAACACCAGCATCACCGTCCTGCTCAGGGCTCCTGCACATTTTTTATGTCAGAATTTGGAGTTTTTCTTTCCCCCAGAATCAAATCTCCAGAGGTGTTAGAGGCTGTTTTAGGTCTTATTTACTGAAAATGTTTCTCATGTGATCGGGATTTAAATATGGAGGTAAGCAAAGAACACAGACTGGGGAGGGAAGAAAAACAGATGGATGGATGAAAAATGATGAACTGATGGACAGCTGGACGGATGGATGGATGAATGAATGGATGGATGGACGGACGGACAGACGGACGGATGGAAGGATGGACGGATGGATGGATGGATGGATGGAAGGAAAACAGGGACGGATGGATGGATGAATGGATGGATGGACAGACGGACGGACGGACAGACGGATGGATGGAAGGATGGATGGATGGATGGAAGGAAAACACGGACGGATGGATGGATGAATGGATGGATGGACGGACGGACGGATGAATGGATGGATGGAAGGATGGACGGACGGACGGACGGACGGATGGATGGAAGGAAAACACAGACGGATGGACGGACGGACGGACGGACGGACGGATGGATGGAAGGATGGATGGGTGGAAGGAAAACACGGACGGATAATAAAACACAAACAGATGTTTGATGGAAGGATAGATGAAGGTCTGATGGATAAATGGCAGAATGGATGAACTGATGAACTGATGGACTGACGGACAGATTCTGTTTTCCTTTTCCAACCTTTCCAGATCTGGGACCTGCCTAAATCAGACTTCAGGTAATCCTGTCCGTTTAAGAATCGGACGCCCTTCAGGCCCTGGAGAGAGAGAGAGAGCCCACAGTCCATCTCTCTGATCAGAGGTATTATTAGTTTCACTCGGCGGTCACATGCATATATCGGGCAGGTTTAATAAGCCCCCTCTCTGCCTTGCGTCTCTTCTTTATTTAGTCAGTGGAATTAAGAAGAGATCTCCGAAGGATGCCATATGAACTAAATTATCTCTGAAATTTTGGGAATTTCTAAAGCAGCCTGTGATAAAACCAACTTTCAACTCCAATCTGGAGTCGTCGCAGAATCTGATTTCGTTAAAGTTCAATTGAAGAACAACGACAAGTTTTACTCTAAAGATTAGCTCTAGTTTAACTTGCTTTTAAATTATTTTCCACTGCAATGACAAATTAAGGAGGTCCATCTCTCTGGTGTGAGCACTGCAGCCCACACACACGGCCATGATCTTCAAAGAAAAGAGACAATACACACACACACACTCAATCTCTGTGCCTGGCAGGAAGGGCAGACCTGTATTCGATTTTCCCGGCGCTGGCTGAAGGCCTCGGGCAGGTCGTCCCAGTTGGTTAGCTTGATGTCCAGAGGGATGAAGCTCAAGTTCAACGGCGCTCCGTCCTAAATGACAAGGAGACAGAGACATTGGCGGGAGCGTGAAGAATGGTTGGCCACCAGAGAGTGGGTACTAATATCAGTCCTAAACATCGTAAAACCATATAATATCCAGGGATGCACTGCTGTGTCCCGTCTCAGGTGCCTCACAATCATTCACAGGTTTTGGTTTGCTTATCCGCTCTCAAGAACGAAAACAAAAGACCTTATGAAAACACTGATTGAAATAATTAAGAGTGCTACTTCCCATCTGGAAACAACTCCTAATCCAACATTGGTAGAAGCCACCGTCTACAAATCAACAACAAAGCACGACCAAGGTTTCCCCCCGAAAACTTGCTAAGCCCGGTGGTTGGGCGGTAAGGCAGTGATTCATCCAGCGGCCCGTCGTGTTTTTCAGTTAAAAAAGGTTTAAAGTTGACAGGAAATTTGAAAATATCACTTGATAATCGTGTTATTGAAAAACTGGACAATTAATACCTGAACACCAACAATAAAGTCTTAAAAAATGCAAACATTTTAAAAAGACTTAAGTAAATAAGCAATGCTTAGCCTGGTGGAAGCACAAGTAAAGCCTGGTGGCCCGCCAGGCTTATAATACACTGGGAGAAACCCTGTACGACTTTAAATCTCAAAACATAACCCTTGTGCACACAAGTGGGCATTTCAAATGAACAATGACTTGAACAATTTGTTTTGAACACGTCTATCAATACTACAATATGCAAATAAGTCAACTGTAAAAATGTACTCAAATAAATCAATAAATATGACTAAAAGTAGGTACAAGAAAAAGACAGTTATTCAGTACTCCAACTGAAAAACCCAAATTGTCACTCCGTAATTAGAAACCCAATATCCTGAGTTGCAGAGTTCACATGCAATTAGTTTCATTATGTACCCTGTCTCAGTTTGCACTAAAACTTTGGGTATCTTTAGCTAAGCAATCAGATTTCTAATTACTAACTCACAAAACTTGAATCCAATTACATTCAAGTTCTCTAATCTGGCCACGCTTTATTCTTTATTGGTTTCCATGGTGATTCCTGTGGTAACCAAGCAGCTCGTTAGTGATCTCAGTTGTTTTCTCTCTTTTTTTTATGACGCACGTTTGAAGATGGTGCTTCTTCTGTGACACTTTGCATGCATTAGCATCAATAATCAAGAATGGGCAGAAAAACATGCATATACCAGTAAGACTGTACCTTCCTGTAATTATAGGTAATCACACTGCAGCGGTCTGGTGGTAACAGTATAATCATTGGGGGAAAAAAAAAATAACCCAAGTAAAAAACATTTTCCCAGTTATTACGGTTTCATTAGCTCTAACTACAGTCAATTTGAAGCCTGGGAAGCCACTTACCCTCAGAATTAACTCCAATCAACCAATAGCCACTGTGCCACACACTGGGCTCATTTTACAATGGGCGGGGGAAGGCTGACCACTGAAATGCCACATTGTGGAGCCACTTCAGGGCTGCAGATGAGGGCCGGAGAAGAAACGAAAAAGGATAAAGTCTAAAGGTTAATACCTGCCAACCGCCGACACAGGGATTTGGAGATGTATATCAACATTAGGAAGTCTTTCCTGAGCTGCGGCGGTCTGCTCAGAGCCCGGTGTGTTTATTTGGATTATGGGAAAATAAATATCATGGAGAGTCAGGGGAACGGTGCAGCTGGTTGTGCTGTAACAGCATGGAGCAGGATTAGAGCGAGATGTTGGAGGAAAAAGAGCGTCTCTATCTTCACTAACAAGCAAAGAAGGAGCAAACAGTTTTAGACATTTACCCGCTCTTCATCACTGTCTTTCATTAGAGTATCCCCAACTTTATTATCTACATACTTTAAGTCAAGGTTAACTGTGTAACAAACCAGTTCACAGTTAGAAAACTACGGAAAGTCACAAAGTCTCCATAACAACGGATTGTTTCAGAGCGATGCTCGGAAAAAGACTTTTCTGTCCAACAATCAGAAACGTGAACAAATTCCTCCAGGATTTTAACTAGAACCACATGCTTTGGTCAAATGAGATTAAATCTGAGCGTTTTGGAAACAAGCGCTCCAGGTGCAACAAAAAAAAGCATTTGGGTTTCATGTTACTAATAAATGGGAACTGAAAAGTACTTGGCATCATGTCAAGACATTTAAAATAAAATCGGAAGGGTCTTTGAGCACCAAAATGATTTAAAACAACTAAAAAACAGACAAGTTAGATACAGAATCCAACATTTAGCAAAACTATTAAAAATCTGTGGACTGAGGAAAAACAAGCGAGCCTGGGATTTTTTCACACAAAAAGTTTTTTCTTTCGTTGGCATTTTACTAGCTGAATTGGAACTTATGTACTAGTATGTATTTTTTTCTTTAATATTGACTTGTGTATGGGAAAGTTTAAAAAAATGACCAAAAACATTAAATAAACCTGAAGATAATTGACTGAATCTTTTCTATCTGAATGTGTTAAAACAGCCTAGTCAAAGTCCAGACCTAAAACCAAATGAGTATCTTTGGAAAGGCTTGAAAATTGCTGCTCACAGATACAAAAATGTCTAATTTTTCATTTTCTACTTCACAGTTACACTCTACTTTGTCTAAAAACAAAACACACATCAAAGTTTTAAAATAATTCACAGAGAATGGGTCGTTTTTCATCCTAAAGACGTAAAACAAATGGCAACAGTTACCGTTTCACCAGTGGAAAATGGACATAAAACACTTAATCCACCCGATATTTTTCCTCCAAGCCCGTCTGACAAATCTTCATCTGATTTTGCACTCAACAATGCCCCTGAGTGAATTAGACGCCTGGCCCGGGATTATCCCAATGTGACAGCTTTGCAGCCAAAATTCCACTAGTTTATCATTTAAACGACAACGGGGGACATTTATCTCAATGGCTTATCGCCTCCGTCCCGAATACATGACACTTGTCTATTGCCGCCGGAGAAATGTTCCTCAGTTTGGCGCTTTGGTCCGCTCTATTTAAAAACCTCTCGTCTCTTATCTGCTTGAGCGGGGAAGGAGCTCGAGCCCTCATGAATGAAACAAAAGGCCGTTAAGTATCACAACGCGATCAATGCCGAGGTCTGTTGGCAAGTGTCACTCGGATAGGGTGCCAAGAATGCACAGGACTGCAATTAGAGTCACGCTTGGGTAAAACTGCGGCTTGTATTAATCTGATGGGTGGAGGGAGGCAGCAGAAGGTTCAATTATGAGAACATTTGACTTGATGACCAAATGAAAGCCAAAACGTCTGCAGATGATCGCTGCACTTAGCTGCTTCTTCAAGGTAAGCAGCAAAAGCTTTGCTAAGGACTTCTTACTCAGCAGTTTTAAAAGGAGATCGTCAGAGGGCATAGACAAGTTATCACTGGAAAATGTAAGAGTCTAAAGTTTCTTCAATATGGACTTAATTTAACTATAATCTAGTCTTTTTCAGGGGTCAAAATGAACTAAATCTAGGTTTCCCCCAGAAAACTTACTAAGCCCGGTGTTTGGGTACTAGAGCGGTCATTCATACAGCGGCCTGTCGTGTTTTTCAGTTAAAAAATGTTTAAAGTTGACAGGAAATTTGAAGATAACACCTGACTATCATGTGTTATTGAAAGATTGGAAGATTAACACCTGAACACAAACTATAAAGTTTTAAAAAATGCAAACATTTTAAAAAGACTTAAGTAAATAAGCAATGCTTAGCCTGGTGGGGGCACAAGTAAAGCCTGGTGGCCCGCCAAGCTTATAACACTGGAGGAAACCCTGTAAATAACTTTTAATGATTTATATTTGACTGGGTGTCATTTGATAGCTTTAAAACCACATACAACAGCAATCATATGATCTGACTTTCTTCTACATAACCACTTTAGGCTGTCAACTTGCTACAAATGAATTTTCTGACTCTACTAAGGATCCTTGGAGGTTGAAGTCACTTCTTTATGCGCGTCTTTTTAAAAATGGATTCAAAGTCCTGTTGATGACCAATCTTATCCTGTTTTCTGGTGGACACAGATGCTCCTCAAAATCAAGAATCATTGTCACAATTTATTTTGGTCTTGTCTGTCCAGTTGTTCCAGAAATATTGTGGTTTCCTGAGATGCAAATCAGCAAACCTACAATACCATGAAGAAGTATTTGCCTTACATGTCAATCTAAACTTTTCTCTGTTTAATTCCAAGATTGAACCAATAGTGTTCCCTGCTGCTCTCATGTTTGATTGTTTTCCAAGAAGTTACACTTTAATCTCATCAATCCAGTGAAGACTTTCCCAAAAGTCTTGTCCAATGTGAGTCAAGTCAGCTGTGGTTTTTGCCTTGAAACCTTCTATTAGGTGCCATTGATGCCTGGTGTTAACATTACAGTTGAACTCTGACCTTACGCCAGAGTGTTTTAGATGTGCTTGACTTGCAGTAAGTTAATGCTTATAAATAGTGATTATACCCTTGGGTCCTTAATGCCAAAATAATTTAGTTCAAGATACCATTGGCTGTTTACAGCTCAGGTAATACGTGTTAAGCAGACAAAATCCCACATTCAAAACTGCTGGGCTGCTTCTTTTACTTTTTAAAAAATGGTGAATAAAATCCCCGATGAAGGCATTCTGTGAGTACTGTCAGAAACAATATTTTTAAGAAGCAGCAGCAAAGTTCTTCTTTACTCCTCACTAAATCTCACCAATAATCCTCTCCTACTTCCTCGACTTGTATTTAGCTGAAGAATATGAATGGATTTAGAAATGCATTTGCTTTATCTTTTACCACACAGGCTGAATAAATCTCCATATAAAGAAAAACATGTAAAATGGCTTACACAGCCTCCTGTTGGTGTGAGTGTGTTAAGCATGAAGGCCATTACACTTTGTTACATTGTACCAACACCTAATTGTATGTTTTTGTCTCATTGTAAGCGCATTAAAGGTTTTATCATGGTAGTAAATGCAAAACCTCTTTGAATTATGATTAACAAAGAGAAATAAATCAAACCCAAATGAGGTATATTATGAAAAATATCACTTTGTGATTTGCAAAATAATTCACACTTTGTTTATAAAATAAAAATAGTTTTTCCCTCAATTCTTAAAATAAAGGATTTTGTCAGAGGAAAGCTGCAGAACAATACAGCCAAATTCACCTTATTTGGTTTCTTATCATATTTATTAAATGCGACAAAAGTAATTTGTACCAATCTAAGTTCTTTAAAACGTACAAAAATGAGAAATCTGTATAATGCGTCAATTTCTTTTAGCCGATTAATTGATTAATCACTAAAATAATCGTTAGTTGCAGGCCTAGTTATCTTTAATAAAAACCTCCTGAAGATAAGGAGGAACATCTGATGTTTTCTTTTGGATTCAACACTACCATCCTTAAAGAACAAAATGTTATTCCAACTGTACTGTAATAAATAGCGAAAAAGAAAATCAGAATGTGTCAAAATTAAAACCAGCAGGCGAGACCTTTTCTTCTCCCAACTTCAGCTCTAAATCTTGTTTTCGCCGCTCCTCTGAAGTAAGAAGCCAGAACATATTTGCTGTTGATTTTTTTTATTTGTTATGAACAAAATCGCTTCACCGAGACCTCAGGAAATCATGTCAAACTATATATATATAAAAAAACGGATAGGATTTCTCTTTCAAACTTGGACTTCCTCAGCATTGCCTGAAGCTGTGCTCTCACCTCTGACCTGCTGGCTAATTGGAAGGAGGGGAAAAAACTGCAGGTGCTTTGTTGCTATTAGCAGCTCGTAAAGCTGTGATGATTTTAATGAAACTTTCCTCAAACGATGAAGAAAAAAAGAATTTAATGATCTCCTGACTGATTTGTTTAAACTTGAAAAGAATAAGCATGATTCTCCCTCCACCGTTTTTCACACTAGAGATGAGGATAAGCAGCTGCACCTTGGAGTAGAGGTAAATCCGGTCGGTGTACCGGCTGGCGCAGAACTTCAGGCCCGGGTAGACGAGCTGGTTGGCGGCGGCGTCACCTTCATCATTGCCTTCATCGCCACCATTAGCATCGGCAGCAGAAGATGAGCACGACACCGCTCTGCAATCTGCAGGGAGACAAGAGGAGCTGACTAATATCTCACTGAGCATATATTATTGGTTCATTATTGGCTTTTCTGGCTTTATTGGTACTCTGTTTGCTCCTTTGGTAATGCTCTGAACAGCAGAGGCATTAAACCGCAGCAGCTTTTAGCATTTATTACACACAAGACAATATTGGGAAAATATAACGTCTGGATTCAGGAAGTTTGGAGGAATGACTATGTATTTATGCTTATTGCTCGCAAACGTTTATGAGAGAATCTGGAACAAAATGTTGAGGTTATTCCCCCTGATACTCCTGCCTGAACCAAAATCAAATTCTTGATATTAGCAATGGATGGAGCCATGAACAACATGTTGATGGCTGAAGTCCTTCTCCAAAAGTAGTCAAAGATCATCTAATAAATTATATTTTAAGCAGAATCATCAATGAAAAACTGAATGAAATAGTTTTGTTTGTTGCAGATAAAATAACATCTTTCATATGTAACTGATTAAACAACTAAATGTCTGGTTAAAGGTTTTACAGCGCTTCAATATTCACTTTTTAATTAAAACTAAATTAGGCTAAAATGATTTAATGCATTTCAGTGATACTTCAGAATAAAATGTGAAAGGAGATTTGGTACCAATCAACTCTCAAGAACCAATTCAGTTATATTTCCCAAAATAACCATGTTATATTTTAGTTTACAGTGAATTTTCTTAAGATTTTTTCTAACATGGGTTGGTTTCTCACCTGAGATTAATTAATTTGGCCAAACAGTTCAAGTGTTAATACAAAGATGATAAATCAAAATTTTGCCTACAAGGATAGTTTGATATATAAATTGAAAATGTGAAGATTAAACTATAAGGAAAATAAGTATTTTTAAATTAAAATGACAGCTCTGAATATTTTTTTTCCACAGTTTACCCTAAACCCTCTTCCGATTGGTTGATCAGATCCTGTGATGACTCCTGCTCCAGTCAATTAGAACTCTTTTATGTTTTATAGGACAAGAATTAATCTTTCAAAGTAGTTTAAAGATTACAAGACTGGTAGATTATCATTTAAAGGCAGCACATTTTTACTGGCCAAATTAGAGTTTATAAAAGCAAATAGAGATTCTTTAAAGAACACTTTGTGAACTGTACATCATTTGAAAAACCAAAAACCCTGAAGAAATGCAGATTTTAGTGAAAATGTTTGGCAATTTAACCAGACCGAGTTTAAAGACGAAGAGCTCTTCAATGAGAATGTGAAGAACAAAAAGCAGAGAAATTAAAAACCCAAAAAATATGATGAGTAGAGACAAAATAAAAGCCTGATGTGGGAAATCTAAATCGAAAAACAACCACAATATTCGACAGATAAAAAGATTTTATTAAATGTATCAATAGCTACGATGAGTCATATTTTTTAATTATTTTATTGATAGCCTGCTGCCTAACACCTAATCACATCATAAATCCAGACTTGACTTCTTTCATCGAGCAAAAACAACCAGCGTAACGCCAGCATCTTCCGACGGGGAAGCTCAAATTTATTTTTCACAACTTCACCCAAGGATTTCACAGAGCAAACGTCTGGAAACACGGCGAGAGAGCGAAGGAGAGAGTGATAAAATGACAGGCCTGGCTGGAGAGAAACAGAGAAAGAGAAGAGAGTGAGCAGGTCATTAATGTCAGCTGTGTAGCTCGCTCATGCTGCCAGCATCTAGCAAGAAAAGGTCAGGCGGTGGAAATGAGACTGCCACTGTTCGACCACGCTTCATTTAGACAATGACCTATAACACTCTGATAATACTTGCCTTAAATCACTCTGCGTGGCTAGTGCTCGGCTGTGTCGGTGTGTGTGTTCCCTGAGAATGTGTGTGTGTTAATGGGGATAAAATACTGACACAGCTTGATGTGTGTGACAAGCGACATCCACTGGAAAAAGAAGCTGGCATCTACATAGAGCGGATCACTTATGGTTATTAGACACAACTCTGGTACCAGACAGGAAATGTGAGGAGAAACTTAGGAGATGAAGGCGCTAAATGAAACAAAGGCTCCTATGCTTTTTGTTGCCCACAAAGGATTTAAAGTTAATTAAATACTTTTATTGCTGCATGTTTGCTGCCATAATAAAAATACAGGAAATATTCCCAGACCCTGCAAACATATATTCTTAGTCAGCTTCTTAATGCAAGTGATAAGTCCCTCTAGTTAAATAAACGTCCAAATGAACTCATAAAACTAACAACATATATTTTAGGCTGGCAGTAAACGCTCTTCAAAGCTTTCTAGATATCTACAGTGGAATATGGAGAAGCTTTGACCTCTAAAATAAATCCTGCAACTATCAGGGATGGCAGTGGGGAGTTCATGATTTGGGCTCACTATGCTGCAGAGCGATATATAAAACTATTGGAAACCGTTTTGGGTTTATTTCAAATATAATGGAGACAAAGACTTTAAAAAAGGGTAACAAAGAAAAAAGGGAGAGATGTTTCAAGGGATAGAGGGAGAAAAGAGCAGAGGAGAGAAAAAAGGATAGCAAGAATACAAAAACACCCAAGAAACATATTTCTAAACCTGCAGAAAGAGAGAAAACCAAGAAACTGAAAACTGAAAAGCACACACTACTAATTCATACAAAATATACGACTATTTTCTTATTTACTTATTCATTTTATTATCATTGGAGCCTTGCAATGAAATTTCGCTCAAATGTCAATAAAGTCTGTCTATGTCTAAATATTTGGTGGCAGCCACACTCCAGGACAGAGTGCATCTGCAAACAGCTGTATGTAATAATGTAACACATTGTTTCAGTAGCAGCTTTTCTTTATAAGAAAACCTTTGAAAAGTTGAGAATCCCAGTCATCAAGCATGGAAGTGGAGGGTTCATAGTTTGATGCCACAGGACTGAAGCAACTAAAGTCTTTCTAAGAGATGGAGTTTGTCCCAAAATGGCTTATAGATGAGGCAAAACTTCAACCGAGGTGATAATCACCTCAGGCGTAGATGACAAGCTCTAGTGAGTTAGAACATTTACTGAATAACTTTATATATAATTTTATCTGAAAATGTAGAATTTCATCAGATCAATCACTGACATTTGAAGGTCTGTTTGAAGAGACATTAGAGAGTTTCAATAAATTAAGCAAAACATTTCTACAGAACAAACTCAAACGTTTGAGTCGTATATGTTGGTTTTCTTAGTACATATATTTGATGTGCTTTTTTGTGCATCTACACTCACAAGTCCTCTCCATACTTTTCCCTGCCTTAAGCAAGAAAGAAAGAAAAAAGTGCTTCAATTTTATGTTTGCAGTCGTCCTTACTGCACTTTCCCTCCATCTGGCACAAACTGTTCTTATCTCAGCCTGAATTCAGCTGCAGTGGGGCTGAAAATACCAAGATAACAAGACGAAGGCATTTTTTTTTTCTTTTTTCTTTTTTTGCAGAGCAACAAACCTGGAACCAAAACGTTTTTAGGACACCAGCAGTCTCTCATCCATCCTTCTGGCCTGCTACATCTGTAATGAAACCCAGCAGCTCTGCAATGTGCCCCCCAGTATATTTGCTGTAAGCAGTTTTTTTTTTGTTTTACCCCCCTCCTTTTTTGCAGTGGCGGAATGCACCAGCTGCATTAAGTGGGCCATTTATTCGAAGGGGGCAATTCATCTTACAAAGCCGTCTTATTAGACTGTCACTTACACAGTATGAACGGTGCCTTCAAAACACCCCGAGGGATTTATCTGTTATTTTACTGCGAGAGAAAGAAAACAACGCCTAATTGGACTGAGTCATCTCATCTTCTTGCAGCAGTGGAACAAAAAGGGGGGGAAAAAAAGGAAAAAAAAAATCTAACCGCGCTCCTCGAGAATGAGCGACGTTTGAGCTGACGAACAAACGGGTATCCGTGTTTTAAATGTTCCCACAGCATGCAGATAGAGCGACAGACAGAGAGAGAGAGAGAGAGAGAGAGAGAGAGAGAGAGATAGCCGGAGAGGTGGAGGTGGAGGAGGAGTGATTGCCTGTCTGTGCTGTGCGGAAAGTAATCTCAGAGCAATCAAGAGGCGGGGGCGGCCGACAGCTCCTCGCTTCTGAAAACCACAGGCAGGTAGAGAAAAATCATTAGGCACCGCTCCTGACCCCATAGGTCACTTTTATTGGACAACCACTGTGTTTTGTATTAGACCCCCGCTGGTGGAGACAGACCGCCAAAGTCATGTAACTAATAAACCGACGACAGGACGAACATGTAGATGCCTCTTCTTCTTCTTCTTCATATTAAACACCGTCGTGCGTTCTGGGTGTTTTCAGAGGAATTCAGAAGGGAATGCGATGAGCTGTCTGTGTCCTCTTGTAATCCCTGACTCACTCAGCGACGCTGAGATCAGAGCTCTGAGGATACCATCTGTTGCGCCAGTCCTCGCTTCTTTCTCCGAAGATGCTACTTAACGACTCCAGGCTGAAACTTTTCGCAGACAGATATTAGTCGTCACTGAGGGGACGGAGGGAAAAAAGGTGCACGTCTAAAGGGCACGTGGGGGTGCGGGGTTCGGATCTCCTGCAGCGCCTCTTTAGTGCTGCCATTTCTGATCGACAGTGAAGCTTTTATCTCTCCCCTAGAGTCAAGTCTGAATAGAGGCGATTTTCTTTCTTTTTCTATTTTTTTTTTTTTTTTTCAAAAGAAAGCGGCTTTCACTCACCTTTAGGTTTTTTTTCCCTTTTTTTTTCTGCCTGAGTGTAGTGCTGAAGCCTCTGCGGGGGGAAAGCAGCGGTGGGATTCAATCGTTGAGCGTCGGGGGGGCACAGGTAGCCACAGAGACGGGAAATTAACCACTCGACAGTCTGAGCGCTAATAGATGCCAAACTGCGCGCGATTCAAGAACGGAAATCTGTCAAGGTGTTGCACACTGATCTCATAATGTTAGAGGGTAATCGGGGTTGATAGCTTGCATGTTAAAACCGAAATCACTTGTGCTTCAGTCGCTTTTATGCCAAGTCTTTAGCAAAAGAAGAAGTAAGAAAAGGAGTTCAGTCACAGTTCCTTGTGAAAATACTCACAGGCCCTAACTTTTTTAACCTTCTACAACCATAAACATCAATGTTTATGGTTTACGTGATTCGTCATTTCTTTTAGCAGATAAAAATCTCAAAAGTGACTCAACCAGCAAACAGCTGTGAGTCCTTTTCTCTCTCAGCTTTACTCATCTACAGACGTTTGTCCAAGTAGCATCTAGGAACAGCAGTTCAAATGCGCCAGATTTCTGCAAGTTTCACCAACTCAAATTTAACAGCTTAATGAAATTCAAGACCTGCATCTCATCAGAAACGTGCAAAAGAAAACTGTATATTAAGCTTTTTTGCGCAGAACGAATGTAACGTCGTACAGGTTGTCAATGGAAGTGAGCAGGTCTTGTTTTGTCAAGTCAACAAAAGAAGACAAAACTAACTTAAAAGTAACTTTTAACAAGGAGTGACTTCATTTAAGTAAAGATAGACGCAAAAAAGCTAGCAAGGGTACATGAGCAGCTACTTAGCATTAGCTTCAACCACCTTGAGTCACATGGAGATGATTTTCAGAGGCTCAAACAAAAAATCATTCACCTTATCCTTTCTTAGGTAACTTCCTTTCACCTTTTCTCTGCCTCTCCAGCTTTTCCTCACTCCTGAGAGCGGCACAGCGCACAGTAGGCAGCTTTTCAGACTTACAGCGTCTTTCAAATTAAACACATTTTTTAACGTTTCATGATATTTAAATTAATTTCAAACTCTGACATTAGAGTTAACGTCTCACTTTATAATAAACCCTGCCCCAGTCGGTATCCTCAGACAGGTTTTCCTTCAAGGTTGTCCAGTTTTTAGCTGTAATAAATCCCAGTAAAACACATCGCAGTTGGAGACACAATGTGAAAGCTGTTCCAACTAAGACATCCCAAAACAGTCTGCATGCTTTCAAAGTCAACACCCAGGTCACAGGCTTTTCTTAGACTCTGCTTGTCTGGCAGTTTTTTTTTTAAAGGTCTTCATATTGCAGACGCTGTAATTAGGGTCTTTGTAATTAGTGCAATTTATTGCTTTGTGTATCCCACTGAGACATAAGCAGTCAAACTCAGAGGTCTTAATTTGCAATATTACACGCTGTGTAATTGGGAATTTGTTTCCTTTACGTCCCTCTGAGACGCGCAGACGGGCACGTGTAGAAACCTGAGTGGACTGGGAAGCCAGGTTGTGTTTCAGGGATGAGCAGGTGCAACACAGGAGCTTGAGTGGCTTTTATGTAATTAGCCCTCACTCCACTTTATTAAAAAAAATAGGCAGCTAATCACCAGCTCCTCGACCTGCCGGACAGGGACCGGACGTGAAACCTGGTGTGTGCTGTAATTTGGCGGCAGCCTCAGAAATGGGTTCCATCTTCAACTCGACGCGACAAGGAAATAAGAATAATAATGCCAAGCCCCATATGGGATGAGATATAGTTCCTTATTGGTTGGCGTGATGATATTAAACAGCAGTATATGTGCAGGTGACAGTGTGGCACCAGCCAATTTCCCTAGATATGAGAAGGCAAGAGATTGCAGGTGGGATTTACCCCGTGTGTGGTCAGGGGAGAGGCGGCCGCCGCTGCCAGCCATGTTGTCGCCTCCCTCCCTCGCTGACTGTTTGCCTTTGGGCCATCGCTTATCCTCTTCTTCTTCTGCTTCTTCCAGCGTCTGTTTGACTTTCATAGGCTCTGGTTCGCTTCCGGTGCTGGAAAGGACGACGCACTCTTGGCCAGCGGAGGCTTGAGGAGGCCCTGGTGACTCTGGGCCGGCAGGGAAAGAAAGCAAAGATGGAAATTACTCCGAGTTTAATTGCTTTTACAAAAGACACACGAGTAGAGTTGGCTGATTAGCCCCATAAAACCGGGAAGAACGAACACCTGCCACCCTCCTTTCACCGACTCTTGCTTCAAACCGCCAATGCCATTTGCTGAGCGAGCGGATTATGCTCTCGTCCCATTGTTTTACTAATTGCTCAACAGTGTCATGTGCAATCAAACTGAAACAAGGATAATTGTGGGCGATTGCTGCATCTGTACGTGGCTGCGGCTGAGGGCAGACAGCTGATAGTGGCTCAACGCCAGCGGTAGATCAGACTGTAAGTAGCAGCTTACTGCACCGTACAGACACACACACACTGATAACTCTTCCTCAACGTTTCCTCCTGCCACTCAGCATTTATACATTATGTGCAGCTATTGCAGCTATTAGCTTTGTGTTCTCTCTTTATAGCTCTTTGTTTTGGAAAGTGCGCCCTGGCTCAGTGCTGCTGTGTTTAGCTGCATCTCAGTCATTAACAGATCTACTGCTGCCATTAAATTTGACTTTGATTTTCTTTGAAATAGAAAAGTAACCCTGATTCGGTCGCTCAGTGTTTAGCTGGGTCTCCTTCCTGGACGGAGACACTGACAGGAAGTTATTACAACTAAAAACCAGAGATCAGGCCTGAAGTCTGGGTGTAGAGATGAACTCTGACCTGAACCTTTAGAACCACATAAAGACAGTTACAAAGTCGGGCTTCTATCACCTGAAGAACATTTCCAGGATTAGAGGACTGATGTCTCAGCATTAGAGAAACTCATCCATGCGTTTATCTTTTGTCGCATCGATTACTGCAACAGGTCTGCCTAAAAACCCAATCAGATCCAGAACGTTGCTGCTGGCATTCTGACTAAAACCAGGAAGTTAGACTACATCACACCAGTTCTAAAGTTCTTCCACTGAGGGAAGAGACTTTAAAACACTGTTGCTAGTTTGTAAATCACTGAACGGCTTAAAGATCTGCTGCTGTTGTCATAGCAACCTTCCAGACCTCTCAGGTCTTCTGGTTCTGCTCTGCATCCTCAAAATCAGAACCAAACAAGGAGATTCAGCTTCTATGCACCAGAAATCTGGAAAAAAACTTCCAGAAAACTGCAAAACAGCTGAAACACTGAGTTCCTTTAAATCTAGACTAATTGATTAAGAATTTAAAAGTAATGTTTCGATTGTTGATTCCATGTTCTATGACTTTGTGTTTTTTGTGTTTATATGATGTAAAGCACTTTGAAATGCCTTGCTGCTGAAATGTGCTATACAAATAAAATTTGATTGATTTGATTGATTTGATTTGATTGATTAATTGATTGATGTAGTCTCCATTTTCTCCCCTGATTTGGAGTTACAGTGTTTAGCTGCATCACTCACCAGAGCAGTCAGTAACAGACCTAATGCTGCCACTACCTTCATGTTTATCTTTGTTTTTGTCACATAGAAAGTACACCTAGTTCTGTATTTTATTCTAAAATTGAAATAACTGGGAATCAGTTGACCTGTTTGTCTTAACATATTAAGACATAGAGATATTTAAAACCAATTCCACTTAAATTATGCTCCAACACACTTCATGCTAAAGTTTAAAAAAACTGAGCAGCTGCTTTAAGAAAAGAGCACAAATATTTATGGCCAACTGCAAATGTCACAGTCTGAGCAGAACTTCTTAAAAAAAAAGAGAGAGAAACTAGGCTGCACAATTTCTGTTCCCCGTCTCTCCTGGTTATATTTAAATCACATCCTTTCACAATATTTGTCAAACTCGAGGTGCGAAATCTAACAAGACAGTAAGTTGTGAGACCGGAGGACGCGGAGGGCTAATTAGTGATCTTGCCTCTCTGCGGCTTGTTTCTTCAAAAGGCCAGTTCTCGACGGCTTCCTCAAAATGTCACCGCGAGTCTCCGGGCCGCCAGCCCCCTCCACTAACAAGCCGACAGAGGCCGCGGAGAGACGGCTCAATTTGTGTTAAGTTGTCCCCCGACGAGGAAGACGTTAGCGGCGAAGTCCTGCGGGGGCCGGACTTCGCCCTGTGTTTTCCCGCCCAGCAGGACGCCCCGTTACGCTCAAAGTGGGCTGATAAGGTTGCAGAATTGACTCGAATCCACTCCACTCAAACCAAATCAAAGCAACCCACATGTGACGCAAACAGGAAGTGCTTCAAATCATCAAAAAAGAGAAAGTAGCTGGTCCTGGAAATAAGTTCAGGAAATGGTTCAACCCGACTCTGTCACACGAAGGAGGTGAAGTAACAATCTGTGACAGTTTGATTAAAAAACAGATTCCTGACCAAGCAGCCCTACAGGGGATTCAATCTGAACACGATTATGATCCTATTGTTCAACACCTGTTATAAGGCAGGTCCCTCTTTCCTGCAGCACAGGAGATCAATTTCAGAAGAAAATATGAGATTATGTAGAAAAAAAGATGTTTGAGATAAATAAAATAATGGGTTGTAACCATTTTATGCAGCTAATTTAAAAGAATAAACACACAGAACATATTTCTACCTAATTATGTACAAGATTAAAAAATGAATTTAAGGGGAAAAAAGCAAAAACTTATTTTAGTGCCTCAAAAAGTCTGAATATGAAGTGATATTGGCAGCTACGGCAACTTGACATTTGCCCATAAGTTAGCTCATAAGTCTTTTCTTATTAAATGTCATTAAACATCCAGGCAGGGTTATAGAGTAAGTCTTGAATTATACTTTATTTCTCTATATTTTTGCTTTAATGCAGCTAAAAGCTCCTGTAGGCTTTCAAATCAGTCATTACCAGTACTTTTTTCAGGTATTTTGAACATTTACTTTGGTCTTTAGCAGCTTTTTTCTCCAGGACAAGTAGATGAAATGTTATTCTTAGGTCCAAAAGTCGCCTTGACCTCTCTACTGAATTACTTTTGTTAATTTTACCTCAGCTTAAGGGTTGAAATCTTGTGCACCACATTTTTGGTTTTTAAGTCAAACACTTTTTTTGTCCACTCAAACTTTTCCTCTTTGTTTTACACACAAACTGCAGAACAGATCTGAAAAGGAGAAAGTTTAGCTTCTTGGAAGCATCGTGTAAAGACTTAGCTGTGGTTTAAAACAAAGAACTGTATTAAAACATATTGAAGTTATGCTTCCAAACTATTTTCCCTGTAATCCCTTTCCTAAAATAAGAGCGGCGGGATTTAGTTGGAAAATTCGGCATATGCCACTGAAGCAAGACACGTTTTAGTCTTGGCATTCTGAACAATGGAGCACGTTTTAAAAAGGACCAGCTGGTCATTTACAGTTAAAGTTATTAATTAAACTAAAATAATGAGTAAAACAAACCATAAGGATGATGCATTTTTGGAAAGGAGTGAAGTAAAGTGGAAACTATTAGCTGCAGTGATGTGAAGAACTATTATATATTTCCTCTATTTTTAACATCTTAGCTCTCTCTCCCTTGCTGAATCATGAACTTTGACCCTAACTGAGGGAAATTGAGTCCTGGATTGCTTAAAGTGTTGTTTTGGGTTTTTGATGTGCAACCAGGATGCCTTAAATTTAAACTTAACGATATTTTCGCATCATACGACAGTGTTCTGTGATTCACACTCTCCCTGCTCTTTGCGTAGTCACACCGTAAAAAAAACAACAAAAAAAAACATGTTGCTCTTGAAGGAATAACATTTCTCATGTCACATCATAGGCTTCCACCTGATTATTTTCTTGCGTCCTCGAGTGCTGAGGATTTCAGTGGCAAGCTGAGAGATATCTCCATAAATACAGTTGTTATTTTCCCGCACAGTCTGTCATTTACAAATTTAGCAGGTTGTTAAATTTCCTGTCTAGCAAGCTGACACAGCCCGCCGCTGTGAATGCAGAGTGGCGCTTGTGACAAAGAGGAGTGTGAATGCTGAATAGTTATCAAGGATCTGCTGCAGTGGAGCTTGGAACGGGGCGGGGTGGAAGGAGGGCGTTCTGTGTGTTTTATGTGTGGGGGTGAGCCTTAGAAATAATAATAATACTAAAAAAAAACGGAGGTAGTGCCTGTTTGTTCTCTCTTTTCTCGTGCGTCAGCTGCAAACAGACCTTCAGCACATTCAGTGACTGCTGTGAACTTAATATAGATCCTGTCACAGCATTTAAGACACTCAAAAGTCACTAATGAACGTCAAAAGACAGGAAAACTTGAGCGTCAAATATAACTATTAATATAATTGTCTAAGAGAACTTAATAATATTAGATATGTCTGCAGTTACAGTTGAAATCAGAAGTTTAAAGTGCCTTAAAACAACATTTTTTATTTATTTATCTATTGACTTTGTTATCCTTTAGTCATTTTCTAGCTACATAGAAAGAAAAACTATTTCTTCATTTCATTTCAAGTTTACAAACTTCTCTTCCCGTTTTCCTTCAATGGTAATTATGGCCAAACATATTTCTCAGAATTAATGCAAACAGGTTATTACTGACTATTACAAAAAAACAGCAAATAAGGAAGATATTTACCAATTTAAGATTTGCAAATTGTAATTTAAGGTCTAAATTATAAATTCTGGACATATTTAAGATTACTAAATCAAGTTTTTTAAGATTGTGCATCGATCTTTTTAGTGCATTTTTGATGGAAATGATGCACATTTTATTTAAAAATTGTAAAAAATAAAATTCTAATTTGTATTCCATCTTAAAATCACACCAAATTAAAATCACACCAGTTGTCACTATGATGATTTTTTTCAGTATAATTTGTTGTCTAATACAGTGTTTCCCAACACTGGTCCTCAAGGCACACGGCCCTGCATGTTTTAGAAATTTCCCTGTCTTAATGCACCTCATTCAGCTGATTGCAGTTCAGCAAAGACCTGCTAATTGAAATCACCTGTGCTGAAGCAAGGAAACACCTAAAACATGCAGGGCAGTGTGCCTTGAGGATACGGGTTGGGAAACACTGGTCTAATAGTTCGCCAAGTCCAGTTAAAAGTTGGATTTTTTCTTTTTGCCTGACTATTTTGAACCTCATTCCAGTTTCGATTTTTTTTTTTTTTCCAGCCGATCTGTGATGCACCTCAGACATTTAAAGAGCGCAGACCTGCAGTCTGCCGGGTCATAACGACTTCCCTCCCTGCTCTTCTGCAAGACGCAATCATAGGCTGTCAGAGATATTACCTAGAGCCAGCTCAACTTTTCCCCAACTTTATGTGAGGCGTTAGCAGCAGTAGCAGCCGCCTTCTCTCTCTCTCTCTCTTGGCTTGACAGGTGAGAATTATGCTGTGTCCTTGTCATCTGCAGGAAGAGAGAGAGACAGACAATCCTCTCGGAGCGGAGCTATTTCAGACACTGGCAAGGCTGCCTCCATCTTTCGCTATATCGCGTCTCCATCTGGTGAAATCTGTAATGCTGCTCGAAAGTATTATGTCAACAGACTGCTCGGATTGATATTGACAGGGAGGAAAATAAAGAGCTGAATGGATTTTTTTTTTTTGCTTCAGGTGCTTCGGTTTAAGCAAGAGACGGGGGCAGTGTTGTCCTTTTTTAAAATTGAATTCGGTGGGATTGTTTGTGAATTAAAAGAAGAAGTCCACAACAGACAGACACAAACATCTTTAGATGATATGATTAGTGTTTTACTAACTTCACCGCCTTACCTGGTTTGAGCCCAGACGAGTGCGGGAACTCGCACATCTCGCAGAAAGGCAGCAGGCCGCTGTTGGAGTAGGTGCAGGCCCCGCAGCTCCATGTCTCCGGAAGCTTCCGGCGGACAAACGAGGCGGGACTTTGTGGGCTTTTCCATCCCGGCGTCAACCTCCGCTTCCCGGCAAACCGAGACCCGGGGCTCGACCTGGACTTGGGCGTTCGAAGCCTCTTCAGCTGCAGTGAAAAGTCCTGGTCAAGATTCACACAGGAGGGAGAGCGGTCGGCGTCAACTTGTTCCACCAGCTCCGGGGACGGAGACGGAGACGGTTCCTCGTCATCTGGTTTCTTCCTCTTCTTCTCCTTGCTGGCACTTGGCGAGAAGAACGAGCGAATATCGTGCTGCTTCTCTTTCTCAAACTAAGAAAAACGATGTAAGCTCAGGTTAGAGTTGTCTCCAAGCAGAAGAGTTTGGAATATCAATTACAAAAAAAAACATCTCATTTCTTTAGGAAATAGTTTGGCTGTTTTATTTTGTATGTAGACAAAAACTTTAATTGATATTCCCTCTGACCGTTTTCCACCCATATTTATAGTCCCCTACATACTGAGATATAAATACTTTGTATCTGCAGGTTTCACTAACTAAGATTTAAGACTTTTTAAGACCACTATGAAAGGAATTTAAGACCAATATCAAGTCAGAAATATATAAACAAGAATCGCAAATAAATAAATTGTATAGATTTGCAACAATTTAGTCATTGGCTAAGATAAAAATGGAGATAAATGTATATTTAACAATGATGGACATAAAAAAGCTAGCTAGCTATCAATCTAGCTGTATATGTATAATAAACTCTTGCTAGATATAGCTAGCTTATGGTAATACACTCTTCCTCGCAAACTAGCACAAGTAATGCTAACTAGTTTTTTACATCCATCATGTGCAAATTTATCTTCAACACTGTTCATCTTATCCAGCTAGATATATTTTTGCTAGCTATATAACTGGAACGAGTATATTAGCAGCTAGCTAGCTATCAAGTGTAATGCTAACTAGGTTTTTTACATGCATCACGTTAGTGCAAATTTATCTGCAGCTGGCTCAACAATGTTTCGTCTTAGCCAGCTAGATATATTCTGGATAGCTAGGTAGCTTGCCAGCATATATTAGCAGCTAGTTAGCGGTAGCCACAACCACCTTGAGTCACAGACTATAATGTTATGTCTGCTCGACTCAAAGGTTTGCATAACAGTAAAGTCCCGCAGCATAAAATAAAGCTACCTAGAATATATGAGATTAAAACAGATTTAAGACCTGTGATTAAGGTATTTAAGGCCAATTTATTGTTTTTCAATGAATTAAGAAATTTCAAGGCCTTATTTTTAAAAACAGGGCCTTTTTAAGGGTGTAAGGACATCCTGTATTATGAGTTGATTATTCTAAACAGAACCTCAAATGAATTTCTTGCTTAAATAAAAATAAACTGGAACTAAACAAATTTGAGTTTAAGACATTTAAGTATTGTCCCAGCCTTTAAAATTCAAAATAACCCTATTTAATCCGGTTCATCAACTTCTATTGTTCTTTAATCCATTCAAAAATATCCCACTAATTTTTTTTGGTAAAATTAATTCAACATGCAGATATTTTTTTCTGCTCATTTAAGCCTTTGACTACCACTGATCTGTGGCTTATCTGAAAATCGCTCTCTTCAACTCAGCAGGCTTATGTTTGGCTTTGGTAGAAAATCTAAAAGGGTCATGTCAGCAGTTGCTCAAAGATCAGCTGATTAGTTAAGTGCTTTGATACAATCAACTGGAGCCATTAAACCGCAGAATTAAAAAAGAAAACCACACAAAGAAACCATGTCTCCTCAGTTTTAACCGACTGAATGAGCATAATTAGTGTTGGTAAAAGAAAAAAAACTGAACCCCTGTTCATATTTTTTCATTTTCCAACCACAAATGCCAATGGATGTTATGTAATAGCCCAACACAAGGCAGGGAATAATTGTGAAATGAAAGGAAAATAAAAGCTAACACTGAATATCACAGTTAACAAACGAAATATGGGTGTTCAAAGTGCGGCCCAGGGGCCGTTTGGGACCCCTGGAGACTTTTTATCCTTATTTATAGAAAACTTAACAACAAATTGTTAGAAAGGAAATTTATAGGAACACCTCAAAATTTTCATCTTTTAATGACCTTTACGGAGTTAATTTAAAACCAATTTTTTAGTTAAGTTTGATTCATAATAACTGGAAAGTTGATCAAAATAATTGATGTATATTTGACGATGATTATTCTTGATGATTTGGTGAAACCCTGTTCTTGTTACTGATAAGTGACTAAATGCTTTTCTTCTTCTCAGTCGAGTCCAAAAGAATTTGCTCACTGGATATCTTTCTTCTAATACGTTTTGAATCTAAAGTCTTTATTTATTTAAGCAGAGTACTGCAGGGTTAGTTTATTCTTGAACAACTAAAATAATTATTAATTCATTTTTATTATCCACTGCCATAGAGTATAAATTAAAACATTTTTTAAGTATATGTAAAAAGTCTTGAATAATGTATTTACATTGCTATGCAGCACAAATCTGGAATAAACTTCCAGATAAAAACCCAACAGCTTATGAAACATCTATCAACAAACGACGACAAAATGAAATGTTTCAATTGTTTATGACTCTGATTTTTGTGTTTTCATAAGGTAAAGCACTTTGAAATGTCTTGTCTCTGAAAGGTGCTATACAAATAAAATTTTATTTCATTTTTGATTTGATTTTGCTTCAGCTAAACACATTGAAATTCTCATGTAACAAAGTGTAGAAAGTATCAATGGGTAAAAATGTTTTTGCAAGAAAAGATACCAGCAGGGAATGTGGTAAATGTAAAATGACTTGACTTTGCAATCAGAGATTCTGAGAAACTCACATAGGAGAAGAAAATGTCATCGTTCACATTTCCTGTGTTTCCCTCCAGCGGTAGTGCCATCTCACTCGGTGTCCAAGCGCTGGCAAGGCTGAGGAACTCCCACTTGTCCTTGTCACCTTCATCAGCCTTCAGGTATTCCTTCCTGCCGTTCAATGTGCTACCAGTAACCGTTTCCTGGAAGTCACACAACATTCAGCTTTAATCTGTCTTTTTTATTTTTTCTATTTAGCTCTAAAATATTTTTATTAGTCACGCGTCATATGAAGTAAACATGACTGTCACGACTGAAAGTTTCAGCAGCTTTGCACGAATTAATCCCAGCATGCTTGCATAATGTCGTCAGCGCTACCTTCCTGTTGAGCATGGACCACATGACTGTGTCAAAGGTGCCCTTGGCGATGAGGTAGTGCACGTTGACAGAGGACGTCTGCCCGATGCGGTGAGCGCGGTCTTCCGCCTGCTTCATGTGTCCAGGGTTCCAGTAGAGCTCAGCAAACACCACATGGCTGGCAGCGGTGAAGGTCAAACCCTAGACACAACACACACACATACACACACACACAGAAATGCAGCATAAGTTGAGAAAAATGCACAATTCAAGCACACTTAAACTCTCAAAATAGACGATGCTTATTCTGACTGGAATGCCTTTAGGGTATATCTTATTTACTATTTGCCACTTCATATTTTTATTTACCTTTCAGCTAAAACAGGAAAAACAATACGGTGATTCATAGTTCAGCAGTAAGTTTTCATCAGAGTACCTGACCGGCTGCTTGGATACTGAGGATGGCGACTCGGGTTTCTGGGTCGCTCTGGAATTTGTGGACTAACTTGATTCGCTCCGATGAAGGCACGCTGCCATCGATTCGTATGTACCCAGCCTGGCAGACCAGAGGAGACATGTTTTAGTGATTAATTCATGTTTAAAAAGTGCCACTTGTGTTATGGCAAAGCAATAACACTACTGTTTTGGGGGTTTTTAAATCAAAAATAGAACAAATTCTAGGTACTAAAATTAGAGTTCTGGAAAGAGCTAAGGTATCATCAATTAATAATATAACCTCAAGTTGGAACTTGTAAGAAAGACAAAAACTATTGGATTTGTTTGTTTTGTTACAAGCTAGGCTACATGCTAACTGTTATTAGCAATACAACCCGAGTATTTTTCTGGATATTTTGTTTTCAGAAGGAGAAATAAACACATTTGCAGATAATTAGATAACTAATCCAGCAGCCATTCTGGGAACTGAGGTAACAGTTTCTCAAACTTTCCTAAGAAAGCTTGAGAAATTATGACAGTGAAGATGTATGGTTTTAATAAACTATCAAAAAAAATAAAAGCAAGGTGACAAAAGATGAATCAAAAATAATGTTTCACTACAGCAAAGCAAGTGGAAGTTAAATACTTCAATAAAAACAATATTATATACGTTATATTCTACAGTTAGCCATTAGCTAGTGAAAGTGTTTCAGCAATTAACTATTATTAGCCAGATAATTCTCTCAAATGTTGAATGACAAAACAAGACTAAAAAAAAACTTGATAAAAGTATAAATGCCACCTTTAATGTAAAATACAGACTAATAAACCTACACAAATACTCTTGCCCCGCATCCCTCTCGGCGTGTTAGCTTGCTAGCATCTGTAAAAACACATGCTAACAATTAACTACTACTCTATTACTAATTAGCCAGATAATTCTCTCAAATGTTTGAAGACAAAAATAAAATTTGAAGAAAAATGCATATGAAAAGTATAAATGTCGCACATAATGTAAAATTGACACAAATTTACTTAAAAAAGAAAAATAAATACTCTTACCCTCCATCCCTCCTTGGATGCTAGCTTGCTAGAATGTTAGCCAGTTTTTGGTTGGTTGAGAAACAGTGCTAATTCAATAATATGTGTCTTTTTTAGATACTAAATCACACTTAAACAGCAACATTATGGAATAACAAAAAAGGAGCAGCTAAATTAAGCAGAAAATCTAGAGTTATTGCTAACATAATCTATTTTCAGCTGTGTTTTTGCCAGATATCTCTCCTGTAGGCAGGAGAAAAGCTAATGAAAAAAGTATGATTGAAGGTTTTCAGGTGTAGTAGGTTGAGCCTTATTATCCAAAAACTCCTTTATGAATGTAGTATAAAAGATTACACAAATAACTAGAGATGATGAGGGAAGTAGGGTTATCCGCACTCTTCAATGAATATAATTATGGTTCATCCTATGAAAAGGCAGAGGTTTCATTTCTTCCAAGCTATTTTATTACTCTGTATTCTCTCCATCTTTACTAGACATTTTAGAATGAGCACATCATGCAGGCCTGATCATAAAAACCTTTAGTAAAGTAGGTAAACAGAAGAGAAACACAACTGAAATCAAGGGTTTTGTTTAATTAAAACATGAATTTGACATTCAGCCGGCTACTACTGCATATGGAGACTGAATTCTTTTGATTTGATTTGGGTCCATCAGTCCTGTGGAGCAACACAGTGGCCAACAGTGGGACGCAATGTTCACACTGCGCTGCTCCCAGATGTTAATTCAACTGTGACGACATGAATATATAAAAGATTTCTGGAACAATAAAATGTCAAATAAACGTATCCACTCATTTCTGTGGAAATTAGCACCTTAAACTGAAAAAAACCTCAACACAAGTCAATCTGATAATTGAACTGGGATCTTTATTGTTTGATTTAATCAGTGCTCAACAAACTTCTCATCAGTTCACCAACAGGTGAGACACACGGAGCACGAAAACAGTGACGTTACAGCCGTCTCTGCCAAGGCTTCACATCTCCCAGCGTTGCTTGACGTTCCTTTTTTTAGCTCGTTGTTAATTGGTGAGCGTGAACACACTGCGGAGTGAGCGTCTCAAGGAGGAATGTGTTATCACACCTCGTGCCATCACATTACATTCGAATGACAATTTCTCGACCTCTGCTATGCACACAAATGCACACTTGAACTGCTTCACAGGTTGCTGACGCCAACCTAAGAGAATACATTCGCTTGTAATGAGTAGATGAAGAAAAGAAGAAAAAAACTTAGGAAGAAAAGTTTACTTCCCCGAGAAAAAAAGTAAATTAGGATGCAGTTTTCTTGAAGAATTTGGAGATTCTTATCAGGCGATATGAGTAATTTGTTAATTATTTAAATATTGTGCTGCATTTAATTATACACCTGCAACCGGCTTAAAAGCCCGAGATTTTAATAATTCATGACAGCTAGCATCTGCTGTCAGCACAAGCTCTACTTGTGAGCACAGACATCATTACTCTGTCAAAGTAAATCGCAACTATGACTGAGTTTCGCTTTATAAACCCAGCGGGACTATGGATGAAAGAATAAAACTAAAACATGGGGCCAATTATGTCTGATAAGCCAGAAAGGAAGTGTGAAATATAAATGCACTCTGCACGATTAGTATCTCCAGGTTACATTTAATAGGCAATGAAAGTCTCTGGAGTTGGAACGTTAAATGGAAATATGAAACTAAAGACAGAGAAAACAGCCTGTGCTTTTGTTGCAAAGTGATCTGTGCTGCCGGTGTAAAATATAAACTCTGAGTCATTTGACAAACTCTGTACAGACCGCTTCAGGAACCAAACTGGAGCTTTCTTTGTCAAACATTGCAGCAAACGCATTAAATAATTTAGATAAATATTGACTTTGTCAGCTGACTTTATTTGTTGAGACACATCTACAAATTATTTTTACTTATATCCAAGAATAGCCACCAAAGTCAACTTGTGTAAATCTAAAACTCTTCTCTAAACTACCAACTGCACTCCTTTTGGAGTAACTAATATTTTTAACCACAATATGTTATATGTAAAGTCTTGAAGCCGTACAGGTTCCTGAAACCAGCTGCAACCAATATTCAACTGTTCAAAAATTAAAAAATTGAAATTTAAAAAAAAAAAAAAAAAAAAAATTAGGTGAACATCTAAATGATTTGCCTGATATCATAAAAGAAATATCAAACCTACCAGGCTGGTAAAACAGATCACCACCGCAGAAAAAAACCTTGGTAATTACAATGAGACGTCCTGTCTCTGTAATCAGTCGGGTATTGTGTTTAAGGCAGCAGGACAAAAAAGAGCACAAAAAATAAATAAAAAATTAAAAATACTGGTGGTGCTTTCATGTTCTGAGGAACATAGTGAGTTTATGCACATCAAAGGTGCTTTATTTGTTTCTTAATGCTTTGTTTCCTCTCTCAGAAGCTTAACCAAATACTTTGGTAGATCTGGCTGCCTCATAGTGTGAGGTCAGATTTTCTGATTTGACTTAATGTCATGAAAAAACATCTGATTTAAGCAACCAAGTCGGTAGGAGACAAGAATTATAAGCTAGAAAAAGCCCAATCACCAATTTGCTTTATACTAATTCATTACCATTACCATTTTGAGAAATCTTTTAATCTCCACGGCAACTATTCAGCTATGCAAAATGCCTGGTTGATTATATTTAGCTCCGCCTCCAAGGACCAAGCTCCTCCTCAAAGCTGGAGTTCGAAAGCTTCCCAGCTTCCCTTCCCCTCCTCCACTCAGCTCCTTCAGACTAGCCAGCAGCAATTAGCAAACACCTGGAGGAACTGCAGAGCTCCTTATAAGAGCTACTTCTCAGTGAAAAGCTGGTATAAACGTCGCTAAAGAGTTAACAGAGGAGCCAAGTTGGGATGACTTCATGAAGGCGGAGTTTCAGAAACAGCAGAAGTTCTTAAAAAGAGAGAGAGACCTAATTTCAAGGGATTGAATTACTTGATTATGCTATTGGCCCTTTAAGATTAAAAGTAATAATAATAAGTAAAAATAATTTAAAAATGAAACAAGATAAAACGGACTAAATTAAAGTAGCAAATTCATTTAGTCTGGGGAAATTTCTCTGTCAAAACCCAAAATTGACTGAATTTCAATTTGAGGAGCAAGATCCCTCATTTTAAGTCTCTCAATACTTACACTGGACCCATCAAAACTATTATCCTACAATCAGATTTAATGCATCTTGCACTAACATATACACTAAACTCCCACCTTTATCTTAGCGCAAAATAAACCCAAACAATTTTGAATGTTAGAGTAGAATTTCAGGCACAAAATCACAGAGGAAATATTGTATCCTGCAACTAAACTGAAGACATATACTAGCATCTCCTTTAACAGTATGATTGTTTCTGCATCCAAATCTGTTTTATGTGCAACAAAATGTCTGTTTTCCGTTTCAAGACGCCGCCACGCCGCCTGAGGTTACCTTGGCCTCAATGGCGGCTTCGGTGCAGGCCTGCAGCATGGTGAGGTGGTGGGCGAACACCAGGAACTTCAGCTGCTCTGCCTCCAGCACCATCTTAATGTAGTCCTTCACAGCTCCCGCCTGACCGCACATGCACACAGAAATAGACACGGATGAAAGAGAGACACTGAATCCATCACGCTGCCGCTCCGCCACACAGCGGCAAGATCAGTAAAGAAGTCAATTAATCACCGCTGCATCCTTTCTGTGTGATCGATTCGCTATTGAATGCCGGGGATCCTGACTTTAAAAGCAGCGAGCAAACGCGGCGGCCGGGGCGCATTTGTCAGCTCGCAGATAGCGAGAGCAAATCGATAGCTCGCAACTCAGCAATATGACTGGTGTGTGTGTGTGAGTGTGCGTGTGTGTGTGTGTGTGTGTGTGTGTGTGTGTGTGTGTGTGTGTGTGTGTACTCTTTTTGATTAAGGCGACGATAGGTGCGTAAAAATCCACATATTGACACATGATCGATCGGAGAAAGAAGAAGTTTCAGTACTAAATCGAGGGTTTCGTATTTCAGCTGAAGTTTCAGCGCCATATTTGTTGAGACCTCTGGTAAAAACATGTAAAAATCCTGGAAATAAATCAGTTTCACACTTGACAAAATGCAATATTTACTGGTTTTACTGTGTGGTGTCTTTTATGACAATAACAAATTTTGCTGGGCGATAAATTGTCCCAGAACTTATTGCGATAAACGATAATATTGCTGTTTTCAGACCATTTCCAAGTAATATAATAGCAATATTGACATTTTCAAGGCTAAGTTTTAAATTCGGATGAACATTTAAACACTGGAACTGGAAGACATTTGAAATAACCAAAATTAATTAAGAAAACAACAAATAAAATGAATAATGAAGTCTCTGCAAACAAAGGGATAGTTGAGACCAAATCAGTTTTGGTAGGAAGAAAGAGAAAAGAGAAAAACGATAAATCAAGCAAATGAAAATGACTGAGTTTCTTTTAATTTACAACGCGATTGACTTTGAACTGCTTTGTTGCTGAAATGTACTAAGATATGATTCTTACCCATTATGATAGCGCCCTACTCTTGGGACCTTGTTGCCACGGTTACGCAACACAACAACTGTCCGAAAATAAAAAAAGTAGCTGCAAACAGCCTTCCAGAATGTGCTCAAAGAAACTTACTCTGTCTTATTTCTTCTTTCTAGAATGGCATGTTCTCTTATTTTGCCCGTTTTGAGGCATCACGTCATATTTATGATGCAGGGATTGCAGTTAAATTGATTTTGCATCAACTATTATGTATTCCAATCACTGATGTTCTCAAGTTAAAAGTTGTAATTTTCTGGATTTTTCAGAGTTTTTTAACCAGGCTGCCAGTAAATGTGGAGGCTGCTGTACATAACAGAAAAATCAAGTTGACTGGGCTTATATTTAAGCAGAAATAATGGGAGTGCATTTGGAACATTTTCAGATTTTTTTATTTATTTTTTTTATAATAAAAAAAATAATAAAAAAGTTGGGTCCTGTTAGCTGTCAAAGTGTCAACCGCAGTGCAAAATTAATGCGGCGAGTTTCTAGAATGCGTCACTCCCAACTTATTGGCTCTTTTCTTCCTTATGTAACACTTTCGTTCTTTTTTTGTCTGTTGGTTTTTGTTTTATTTATGAAGCGAAGCAGCAACAATGCGTGAGAAAAGATCAGAGCCCAAATTTAACAGCCTATTGCTTGTTTCTTGTTTTGAAGTTCCTGACCTTGATTGACAGTGTGAAGCTAACAATCACCTCCCCTAACTCAAAAAAAAGGAGGCAAAAAGCGAGGGAGTTAACTGTGCCCTGCAGATATCCGTGCCTATCATGTCAGTGTGTGTGTTTGTGTGTGTGTGTGTGTGTGGCCGTCATGGAGCATCCGGACTCGGCTCATTTAGGAGCCCCCGGGCTCACCGGGGCAACCGAGAATAGCACCAACTAGTGAGGACATATTGAGGTTTGATTTGAGTCTAACAGAGCCCTTACGAGGCGCTTTTCGCCTCTGTGGTGTGAATCCAGCTCCTAAAATCTCCCCCCACAAACCTGACAACCTTCGCAGCCGTCACACCTGCTCTGGAGGGAGAACCTCTGCTGATAATTAGCCAATGCGCCCGATAATGAATCTGTCCGCCAGGCCCGCCGACCCTGTTCTGATCAGAGGGGTCCTCATTACTGACGGCTTGGCTTCGCCCGCTTCCTTCCGCCGAGTTTAATTAGTGCATAAACTTCTCGGCTGTCTGAAGCGGACCCGTTATCTTTCGCTTTAAAGTCCGGCTTCAGAGCTGTCCTCTCTTGGTAATTGGGAGCAGATGCTTGGCGGGTAAAGCAACAAAAATACCCCAAAGGCGTTTGGCAGCTCTGTCGCCTGGCGGTGCTGGGAGGCAGGCAGGGCCCGCGATGCTCCTCAGAGCGACATACATGTTAGAACTTATCACACCACTCCACCCTCCCAATGATCCAAAAAAAGGAAGCACTGTTGTTTTATTGTTTGCCGCCCCCCCTCCCCCTCTAAAGTACCAAAAGTGTGTTGAACTCTGAAAGGAAATGAGATTGGTCCGGGAGTATTGGCCTTGAGGTGGATGTAATGAAAGGAGGTCCAGACTTAGGCTAAACTAAGCAGAAATCCAATCAGTAAACAACACCAAGTACAAAAAATGAAAAGCAGGATCCAAGCTTGGAGGCAGGCGGAGCGAGCGGCGTGTCAATGATTGCATTTGGTAGTTATCTCCGGTCTTTGTTAACCTCGGGGCGACGCTCCTCATGGCTGAGGGACTTTGGCTAATTGAGAGGAATGCCAGCCCTCGAACGCGGGCAGATGGCGGTTTATTCACCTACAAATACAAGAGACGGTGGAGACGCCTGTTCTCGGAGCTCCCGTGATTAGCGATCGAGGGCGGGGGGGCGGATCAGACGGCGAAGGCTTTATTACGGCAAAAATGTTTCCTCTGAATGTAAATGAATGTTGGATTCCAGCGGCTCTGACCCCGGCATCCTTCCTCCAGGATGCGTCCAGCCACCTTCCCACAGAGCTCATTCTCCCTCTCATTAAAAAAAAAAAGACATCTCTGTTAAACTGAGAGCCGAACGGGTTTCCATGGCAACAGCATCACAGCGATTCTATTTTAGTGTGGTGTGTAACTTTGATATAAGGTGTAATCTAGCCAGGCTGGACGCGGCTAAATAATGCCTTGGTTATAACTCCCCTACTTTGTCTAAGTGCTTTCACTGGTCACCATTAGGCTCTGTTACCATGGCAACGCTTTCCCATGAGATCTCCCGTGAGCACACAGACGAGCGTGCTGAGAATGATGCCGCGCCATCCGTTCACCGCGTCAAGTCCAACAACAGCGCCTGGAGATGTCGAAACGTTCTGGATTTTTAACTTGCTGTTTCCTCCACCTGTTTATTAAAACTCTGAGGTTTTAAGAAACATGTGGACTTTATTTATTAATTTAAACGGCTCTGAAGCTAGTTTGTTGCTCTGGATTTTGTTTACTGCTAGCTAAAAAGTTAGTTATGCTAACCCTGCAGCATTAATTATAAATATTAGCTTCAATAATGCTAAAACAAAACACTAACAAAGTTTTTAGCATAAGCTAATGCTATTAAGCTAACTTCAATTCAAATTCTATCTACTTTAAAAGCTTAAAAGAACTGCTAATAGTCAATAACCAAAACTTCAACATGAATGTCAAAATTACAAAACAGTAAATCAAGGATATCTGGAAATTTAGCGGAAGCTAAATGCGCTAAATGTTTCTAAAGTTAGCTAAACAAAAAAAAATGAGCTCTGCTATTAGCGCATTAGTGGAAGTGGAAACTTTCCACTGGATGTAACAAATTAAAAGAGGGTGAATACAAATGTAACTTTACTTATAACAAATGTTTAAAACAAAGCACCATTTTCTTCATGTTAGTGAAGCAAGTTTGTGGTTCAAGTTTCAGAACTTTATGAACAATGTTTCAGAGTTTTACATTTCACCTACTTTACAGGTAACATTGCATTACATCTCTTATTCATCATTTCTTCTAGCTTCAGTTTTGTGGCAATAATTCAGTGCTCAGGTACAGACTAACGCACTGAAAAGATGTTTACATGTCTAATCTATATTTTATAATTCAATTTAGCAAGATTTTTACTCATCAGACAACACAATTAGCTAAATTTACTTCAGTGTAGTTCACTTCGCCATTGTAATTCGCTGACTAGAGCAGAAGTTGTGCTTGAAATCATTATTGTCTTGAGTTAGCAGAGATAATCTTTAATTAGAAATCACTGTTGTGCATTAAAATGTCACATGTAAGGATGATTTTTCTG